GGAAGTCAATCAAAATTCGTTTGGTTCCCGTAAACGGTAATAATTTGTGTCATCTTCATACAACTTTTGATTGATCTGATTGTTTTGGTTACCGAAAAGTTGCAGGGTTTTCGGTACTTGGCAACCGTATTTTCTGACTGGTTTTATAACTATCAAATCGAATGACGGAGCTACCGTTATTCTACAATGATATCACTTATTGGGCTTGTTTTTTGTTTCGTTTTCTTGTCATCCATGTTTCTTTTGACCGGTTGAATAAAATAGGCTCTTCATGGTCTGTGTATGACCATCAGGAAGGCTGAGAGCGATCGCAGAGTTCGCCTCTACCAGTATGCCCAATTGTTCGTGAATTTGTGGGAATATTCTGGTTTTACGAATCCTCACTTTCCTTATCACTTTTTCGTTTCGCGAAGACACTGCAGGTTTTCTAGGGCAATTCAAAGATGTTGATGGACAAGTTTTAAATTGTACCTTATACCGTTTTTTCCACGGTTTTCATCACAGACTGCTTCACGCTTTCGTTGCCAAGGTGTGTTCATTGGTTCACTTGACTTGAATAGCTTGATTTTCTCGCCAATCTGATAGTGTCATTCGGAACGTGATTAATTATGTAAACAATCCTGCGTTCAAAGCACCTGTTTGCGTGACTCAAATCGGGCTGTTAAGTCACGTGAGTGCATCAAAGCCTCAGACGTGGTGTCCTTCCGTAGTGCGGCTGTCGGAAGTGTCTTTATTCTGCCCTGGTTCATTGCTGTCCATCATTGTTGCTAGGCCGCTTTGCTGTCATGCGGTTCAATACCACGTCTAACCTAGTGGGACCTTATGCGGTTTACCACTCCAATTCCCGGGGGCTTAGGTTGCCGATTTCCATCATTGAACAGCAGGTCCTCGTGACTGTGGTGTTCACCCCGTCTGCTGTTTATCACACTTAGGTGTGTAATAAAAAAAATTACTGGTAATGCACGAACAGTGACTTCTAAACAGTCACCATAAGCTGTGATCAATGAATTTGCCCTCACTACGTTTTCTTTCATCACTATCCTTCTCTGCAAACGAAAAGAATAATCCGCCAGTTCATAGGTGATGTTTCAATACCCAAACTCGACTTCCCAGTATCATGCATCTTGCCTAAACGTTTCTCAATGCCTTTTTCCTCTCTAAATTCACGTAACACCGCGAAGAAATTTATTTGTTCAAATACGCTGTGCACATGCGTCTTTTCATAATGGTATAGTCTGTGAAGCTCGACAGTCATGAGGCTTGTTGACTAGCCTTTTGTTACTCTAACCGTTACTTCTTATCTTGGAAGATGCAAAGCT